TGTTCATCTTGTACTTGATATTCTAGACTGCAGGTTCTTCATTTCTCATCTTCTTTTCCTATAACTTCTTACCTCTTCTTCTCAGCTCTTTGTCTTGTTGTTGTTGTTGTCGTCGTTGTTGTTGTTGTTGTTGTATCTGTTGTTCATCTTGTACTTGATATTCTAGACTGCAGGTTCTTCATTTCTCATCTTCTTTTCCTATAACTTCTTACCTCTTCTTCTCAGCTCTTTGTCTTGTTGTTGTTGTTGTCGTCGTTGTTGTTGTTGTTGTTGTATCTGTTGTTCATCTTGTACTTGATATTCTAGACTGCAGGTTCTTCATTTCTCATCTTCTTTTCCTATAACTTCCTACCTCTTCTTCTCAGCTCTTTGTCTTGTTATTGTTGTTGTTGTTGTTGTTGTTTCTGTTGTTCATCTTGTTCTTGATATTATGCTGCCTGTTCATTTTTTTGATCTTGTTCTGGTATCTTCTTTAATTTACCGACTACCCCTCCAGTTCTCCTTTACCTTTTTCATCTTTTCAGGACTTGGCTGAAGACGAGAAGATTCTAGCCATGCCCACATTTGTGCTATACAAAAACGCGAAGATTGTAAGTTTTACTCTCCAGAATTTCTGTCATGTTTGAATTGTCTTTGAATAATGAAATGAACGTAGGATATATGAACGACTCTGTAAGTGTCCATTTTGAATTAAGTTAATTAWATGATTTTTTTAGATTGAAACAGTCGTTGGTGCCAATGAAGTTAAACTGAGAGAAGCGATTACCAAGCACATCTGACAACACAGTGAATCGATAGCAATCTTACTTACTTATTTTCTTTATACCATGTATTGTCTCATTTAATCGTCTTACTTTCCTTTGTCAATATTTCTATTCTCGATATAATTAAKAAATAACCTTTATTTAAATATCTAATGGTGTAAAATTAAAAATAAACATCTGTTGTGTTCTTGATAAGCTTGGTATAACCGAMCAATAATACTCATGGTTGTTCCGGTCCAAAAACAAAACGAAAACATTTAAGATAATGAATTATCATTTTTTTAATTTAACTGTTATTTTTTACAGTTTTTAGTAAATTAAATGAGCTTTTAATCCCTTGTTTTCATCTTTTTAATTTCTTTTCACAACTACTTCATTTTTTCAATGATTAATCCACGAGTTTAAATAAGTCGTGGACCAGTCTCTGCTCATCGCAAGCGTCCCAGAGCACCAATGCTTTGCCTGTTGAAGACACCCCGCCTTGTGGGTTGACACAAAGTCCACTAGCTTCGTGTTTAAGTGATTTCTTTCTCGTTCTAAAGTTTAAGTATGATATATTTAAGAAGTTSAAAAGAGTTAATAGAGTGTTTAGTACTAGATTTAAATCCATTGAAATAATGTTAAAAATAGATGCAAAATACTTAAAAGCTTTGCATGTTTAAAAGACAAGGAATTGCCTGGATTGGCGAGTTGTTGGCGAGTTATTAGCGAGTTATTGAACGGTTGATTGGTTAATTGCATGGTTAGTGTTTGGACAAGTGTTTACTTCTGAAGTTATAGAGTTTTTTTATTATATTACTAAACATAAAAAGAAAAAATTAAGAAAAAAACCCTCTAGCAGTAGGTGGGCAGCCTGTGATTATAGCAATTTTTCCCCGCGTCTCTTACCTAATGAATTTTGCTTGATCTTCTCCACATTTCGATGAMAGAACTAATTTAGCACCATTATTTGCGTCACCTGAACAAACCAAAACGATCATAATTGAAACCGGTTTAACTAGTTTCTATGCAGGTTTTTGCACGTGATCTCTCAGTGAGATACATACCTTTTGGACAGACGAGCTTCCCACTACATTTATGCATTAGTATTCCATTATCTGCATAAACAAAAGCCGCGTTTGGTCTGGAGCAGTCTGCGGGACCACTGCCGTARACAAGGTCTGTATTGTCTTCAAATTTGCAGCCAGAGACACCCGGTTCAACGCATGATTTGGTGGAAGATCGTATAGGACTTTCTACAAGAAAATTGAATACAGTGATCAAAAAACTAGTGAGCCTGAAACGATTTGGGACACCGTGAAGCTTGATTTGATGCTATATKAAGCGGCCACGAAAAGCTTTGTTGTGATATCAGAGAGTTATTTAACCCATCGTGTTGTCGATATTAAACTGACTTATAGAAATATTAATGAGTGAACCTATATGGATTCCAAAATGTCCTACAGAAACATAAATCACAGTGTAGAACGCCTTGCTTTGTGAGCGCCGACCAACGTACCTGGGCAGACATTGCAGTCTTTACTTTCTTCTGCCATTAGCTTTGCATCACAAGGATCACCGCCACACCTCGGTTTGGGKTCGTCACATCGTTTTTGTCTTCTTTGCTTTCCTGGTTTGCATAGCTGATCACAACTACTCCAATTACTCCARCCCGATACTCCCCCATTTACTAAACAAATTGAAAATCGTTACTAAATTGTTTGCTTACTGGCTGCAGTTAGTACTATTTGGCTGGGAGGTTTCATTTTATTACTAATATTGGTTCATGATAAACTGGTTAGTTGGTTGGTGGCTTGGTGGTCTGGCTGTATATAGGCTGTTAGTTGCTGATATAGTTTGGTTGGCTTTTTAATTTTTAGGGTGTTGCATTGTTTGGTTTGTTGTTTGGTGGCATGGTTTAGTTGTTTTTGTTTTGTTTGTTAGGTTGTTGGCTGATATTGTTGGCACAGTGTGGTTGGTTGGTGGCTTGGTGGTCTAAGGTTTACAGGTTGTTAGTTGGTGCCATGGTTTGGTTAGCTTTTTGATTGTTAGGTTGTCGATTGCTGCCATGGTTTGGTTGTTTTTTGTTTGTTTGTTATGGTTATTGGTTGGTTGGCTGGCTAATTGTTGGCATAGTATGGTTAGTCAGTAGCTGTTGTGTTCCTTGCTGGTAAAGTATTAACCACAATACCTGGTTTCCTGGATTTATCGCAGTCATCATCATTCAGCCAGTACCATATMACACCAGGGGTATACATATCAGGGTAGATCCAGTTAGCAGGCTTTTGGTCTTTGTTGTCCGTGATGATCGTACCAGGAGCATACCATTCMGAATAGTCAGCGGTTGTCAATAAAGACTTGGACTGTCCCAAATAAGGCATTCTATTTTGAATGCTGTCATCGTTCGTCTTCCATTTACCAAGTCGTTTGATCAGTTTAACATCAGTTTGTGTGTTACCAAGCTTGACAAAGCTTGAACGAAAAGAAATAAACAATTGTTAAAAGGGCTAGAGTGCACGTTTGACCAATCAATCTACCTTTTAGTAGTGAGAAGTTTAAAGTGCAGCATATTATTTACAGTGACTGCCAAATTGTTATTATACTGTTTTTATACAATGTTTTCTGTTATCAGTACGAATATCATCATATGGGCATCATCTCTATGTAAGTCTTACCTATATTTCATTGGTGCCTCCCAAACTCCGCCCCAYGATCCTCTTCGATTTGCTTCAAGTTTGTACGTGAATTTATCTGATGCACTCATGGCTTTAATACCATCCGCTTTACCTGTTTTAGAAAAAGATGCTTTTTAATTATACTTTGTTGCCTCTAAACCGTAAGCAATCTTATTTCGCTCTCATCCACCCCCCTTGGCAATTTGTTTTTAATACATGAAAACAAGTAGACAAAGGAGGGGTATGCCTTTGACGTATCTGAGTTTATTTTAATAATATAAACGKTAAGAACCKCATTACCTAATATGGAGTAGTCGTTGCTTAGTGACGGTCTGTCRATGTTCCTCTGCCTGACATCACTGGCGCGCCAGTTACCGTGTGCACTGGTAACGAGTAGAGTGTAKGCCCCAGGATCCGACGTCATATCACAATAAACTGGAAGGTAGTGCTGATTTTCTTGTAGCTTTATCATATAAAAACCGTCTGTGAAGTTCCCGCCATGTCTTTYTCCTTTGGCTTTTATTTGAAAACATGAATGACTGGAAAACACAACCGAACCTCAGTAATTTCTTTCATATGTTTTTGCATTTTTTTGAAAAATTCATTAGCTAATCTATTCATCTAGTCTTGATAAGCACGTTATACAGTCAACTCTCGCCTTACGGACACGCCACTACAGTACAACCTCGATATTGCGGACAGTAAAATACTGAATCCCCGGCAAAAAAAACAAAGAAAGTGACGGAAAGTAACTCTCGTTACTACGGACTCTCGCTACTGCGGACAATAAATTACGGTCCCGAGGGTGTCCGTAATAGCGAAAGTTGACTATATTGTCGCCGCCATTTTGAATGAAGATATCAAGGTCAGTCACGCACGAATTATTATGTCACGCTATGTCACGCTGTCTTACCTTGCATCTTCCCTTACCCAAAGGCGTACAAATCCAGGCTTAGGTTTACTCTTTGCGATATACATTGCGTTACTTCCGCTACCAATCAACGTTCCATCTGTGTTGGTACCTTGTCCAGTCGTTGTGTATGAATCGCTTTGTTTGATGTAAGGCACGCGTTTGTTAAGGTTACTATCGCTTTCATCCCAATCTCCGAACTTTTGTAGAAGCTTGATGTTCGTTTGCTGATCTGAAGTGCTTGTAAGAGAGTAATCTTTCTGCGCCTCCCAAATGCCTCCCCAACTATCGTCACCGTCTGCTTCAATGCGGTACTGAAAATAATCAACAAGTGTGTTATCGTTACGGCATTAATTAACTTTTTCTCTTCCTCATTTTGTCATTCACTCCACAAAATCATTACCCTGATGCAAAAACTGCACTGTAAACCACTTCATTCATTCAAATAAAATTTCTACCTGAAATCCACGCTCGTTTGTAATATTATCACTGATCCCTAATATGGAGAAGTCAGTATCCAGTGAAGGCTTGTTAGCGTTTCGTTCCTTGATATTTGTGTCTGTCCATCCGCGTCGAGAGGCACTGGTCATTAGTAGTGTCCAGGCACCTCCGTTGCGTGACATGTCACAATATGTGTCAACTTGTTTGTCACCAAGCTTAAGAGTGTAAATTCCATCTGTCGAGGAAAGAAAATAATCAAAATACAATATTGGACAGTTATTATTATATGTAATAGGACTCCATGCTGTCCAGAAAATTCCGAGGACTGCCAAAAATTGGACGAGGCCGTGGCCGAGTCCAATTTGGCAGTCAGAGGAATTTTTCGAGTCTAATTATTTCTTAATTGGACAGCATGGAGTCTTATTACCTATTAATTATATAGCCACATATTGATCCCAAATAGGTAAAAGCCAACCACAGCTTTTAACAAAAACCCAATTGAAAACCTGTCCAATTAATTTCTTAATTGGACAGGATTCCAAAATTAACGAAAAATCCAGCTTTTACCTATTTGGGATTAATATGTGGCTATATAATTAA